TCCGGGTGGCCACCCCGAGGGAGACCCCTAAACCCGCTGCAAGAGGCAGGGCCTTTTTCGTGGTGGCTCCCGCTTTATGGAACCAGCTTCCAGGGGAGCCCCACCTAGCTCCCTCCCGGTGGACTTTGAGGAAGCAACTAAAGATGTGGCTTTTTGGGGAGGCTTTCCACACCCACCCCAGATGATCACCTTCTTCCCTTTTCTTTCCCCTCCTCTTTCTTCCTCTCTTTGTCTCCGTCCACTCTCTGTTTATATGATTAGTCAATGCCATTCATTTTTTAAGACTTATTGTCACTTTTTTAATGTTACTCTTTTTATTTTGCTTCCTATTACATGTGTTGTCACCTGTCCTAAATAGTGCCTTGATGCTAATGGGAATGGGATTCAAAATGAGTGAATGAATCCATCCATCCATCCATCCATCCATCCATCCATCCATCCAGTTTTCCTCCTCCTCCTCTCAAGGAGACCCTGCCAGGCTCGAGGGCTTCTTTATGGGGGCGGGGAAAAGAAATCTTGGCTGTTGCAAGTCCGAAGGAGAAGCTGCTTCCACTTTTTTGACCATTCTCAATATCCAAGTTTGGAAATCTGATTTTACAGAAGATGCTCCATTCGTTGGTCTTCTTTGTGGGCAGAAAAAAAATCAAGAAAAGGCTGCACGGTTCCCTGAACGAAAAGAAGTGTAGGAACAGATTATTCCTTTATGGGACCATTAAAAAAATTGCAAACAGCAACAACAAGAACCCAGCAGTGAGCTTTCAATGATAATTCCTCTTCTTCAGGCTGTGCAATCAAGTTCTTGTGGATAGTTCCAGGCTTATATGCTTTTATTCAAGTCCCAGAGTCTCATGACCCTTTGTTGGGGCCAGATTTAGCTTCTTAGAAGGAAATGGCTGCAGTCTGAAAGAGACCTATAGGGTGGGGACGGTATAGCTTCAAACTCCTCCACAGCCAGTGGTCTGGAATTAATTTATCACCAAACTCTTTACATAAAAGGGTGGCAAAGCAATCTGAATCTCCCTCATTTCCCTCTTTCTGTCTTATTTTGAAACTCAAAGAATTGCTGTTTGGCTAAGGCAGTGTTGGGAGAGCAACTTGCCTGATTGACTTGTCCTCTGGAGCAATTAACCAGGGAGAAGATTAAGCCAAAAGTTAATAAGATTACTTGGAAACTAATAGAAAAGCAGATCCTCACTAGGCAGAAGAAGCACATCAAAAGCCCTGACAATGGACAACTCTTACCTATATAGATAGCTATATAGTTTTTGCACAATGTGCATGCAGGAATTGGTGATGCTTTTATAATAACAATAAAAACCCTAAAGTAGTCATACAATCCGCTGGCTTTCACAGGTCAGGGCCCACTTTATTGGGCTGTTTCCATTTGTGAAAAGGATGTAGAGCCCCAAAAGGTGGATTTTGCTAGCCATTGTTTCTTGGAAATGGTGTGACTTTAAAGTTACAGCTGAGGAAGCTGCATTGTTTCATGGACATGGTGTGACTTTAAAGTTGATTGGAGGAAGCTGTTGATTGGATTTCGCACCCCAGCGCTACAGCCAAAGAAGGGCCGGCATCAGCACCCTAGCGCTACAGCCAAAGAAGGGCCGGCATCATGCATACACCTTTCTGAGTCACCTTCCTTTGAAACAAGTTTCTACAGTGGTGCCTCGCTAGACACCCCGCATGACAGTTTTTTCGCTAGACATTGTTTTTGTGATCGCTATAGCGATTCGCAAAACTGATTCCTATGGGGGAATTTCGCTAGACAGTGTTTGGTCCCTGCTTTGCAAACCGATTTTCGCTAGACAACAATTTTGACAGCTCCCTCCACTCTTGGAAAACAGGTGTTTCGGGACCTAAGCTTCGCAAGACAGCGATTTAAACAACTGATAGGCGGTTCGCAAAGTGGCTTTCCTATGGCCGATCTTCGCTAGACAACGACAATTCTTCCTCATTGGAAGGCATTAAACAGATTTCAGTGCATTCCAATGGGGAAATGCTTTTCGCTAGACAATGATTTTGCTAAACAGTGATTTCAGTGGAACGGATTATCATCATCTAGTGAGGCACCAAAAATAAAACCCAAAGTCCTTCAGCTGGGAGTTAGGCAGAAAATTTAGTTGACCCACTAGGTAGGGGTCAATCTGCTGTGCCATAAAAGGAGTAGTAATTCCTGCAGGCAAAGTTTTGAGGCAGGCAAAGACTGTGAAGCAGAGATGCAGAGATTCTGCAAGAGACAGCAGGGAGAGCGTGTGGTCAGGTTCCTCTGAATCTTTCTTCTTTGCCAGCCTGTCCAACGGAGAAGAGAAGGAGGCCCTGTTCATTTCTGCCGTTCTGGTTCTGTTGCAGGACATGAACGTGCAAGAATTGAGGGTCTCCCGAAGGTAGGGACCAGCCTGAGAACACTGAACTCAGGAGGAAAGAGAAATTCCCGGAAAGAACAACCCAGACCAGTCTCAATGGGGACTCTCCCAGCTAAGATGTCCCATGCCAGCTTCCTGAGAGTTTTGCTCTCAGGAGGGTGACGGGACCTGGGAAGGCCCTCTTAAAGCTCAGAGACCTGGGATATTTCACATTGTAAGTCCCCTTCATGGTACAATAAGAAGAGTTAAAAAAAAATTAAATATAAATAACGGCGTGGAAAGACTGAACGAACTAGGCAGTTTTAGCCTTGAGAAAAGAAGACTGAGGGGAAATAGCACTTTTCAAAATACTGAAAGAGGCAGGATCTGTCTGTGATTGTCCCAGATTGCAGGACACGCCACAATGGGCTCAAGTCACAGGAAGCCAAATTTTGGTGGAATACCGGGAAAAACGTCCTAACTGTTAGAGCAGGCGACAATGGAGCCCCATGACTTTGAGAGGTGGCGAGCGCTCCCAACGCTGGAGGCCTTCAAGAGACACTTAGACCTGGGAGATATCCTTTGATTTGAATTCCTGCCTTGACCTGAGGGGGTCGGTTTGGACTCATTGGCCTTACAGGGCACCTTCCAATTCAATTGTTCTACGATTTCTATGATGCCCTGTGTATCAATAACACCACAAGAAAGTCGATATTTACATACTCCAGTCGAGTGGAGAAACTCACCCAAATTGGGTTAAAATTGGAGGGCTGTGAAACTTTAGGTGAGGCAATGCCTCTCCCAACAAGAGGAGTACAAATTCAAATAGTCCTGCTGGCCACACCACCGGGAGTGTCCTCGGCCTGACACCTGAGCCAACTGCACATTCTGAGCTGTCAAGCGTTGAAGACAGGTAAGCATCCCGTGACCGAGATGTTTGATTCCATCATCCCGGAGCCGTTCCTGGCTCTTGTGCCACCAAGACATGAGAGCTGCTGGCTCAAAGAATCAAGGAGCAAAATTGCGTTCCTAAATTTGTGTTGGTTTTGATCACATCTCCCCAATCCTGGCTCAGCTGTTTAATGCGTTCCTGTGGGGTTTTTTGCCCCATATAGCGACGTTTCCGGATAGCGACGATTTATCTGGAACGGATTATCGTCACTATGCGGGGCACCACTGTATTAGAATTGCTGGCCTTGCCATTCTCGAGGGTTTAGGAGGTGCTCCTTTGACTTAACTAGATCAGGATCTTTCATATTTTCTTTTGTTCATTCTTTCATTCTTACTTACTTGACTTTGACTTTGATACCGCCCATCCGGCTGCCAAGCCCACTCTGGGCAGTTTACACATTAAACAAATATAACATCAAACAACAATTAAAATGATAAACATGATAATTATAAAATTCCCCCCTCTTTCATTCTGTTATTTGCTGTTCATTTTGTTTTTATGGTTTATGTTCACAGGCTGGATTTTCTCTCTGATTGTAAACTACACAAGTATACCAAATGAATGAATGGGTTTCCCAGACTGTACCACCGGCAGAAACGGGTTTCTCCTGAGCCTGGCAGAGGATGACAAACAGAAGAGCACTAGATCTGGTTGGGGGGGCAAGAATTCGCCTACGCATTCAAGGAAATTGTCCCACCAGAGCATGATCCCCATTGTTTCCCAGTCTCGCACTTTTCTTGTGTCACGTCTCAAAATTCTCTCTTGTCTTCAGGTTATCTTCAGAATCCCCCACTCCAGAATTTGTCTACCCAACACGGAGGCCTCTCTCTTCCTGAAGAACCCAGAGGTCGAGAAAAAACATACTTTTCCAGGTAAGAAACCCGTCAACATTCTGCTCCTGGGTCTCCCTCTCCTTCTCTGGCTTGAAAAAGGTCCTAAATCTGCACCGATGTAGATTGAAACAGGACAAGAGTTCCTTTTTTCCATAGTGAGTAAGACAG